AARARRMATAGTCACAGATTTCTCAGTCGAGAAATCGAATTTGAGCAAGGAGAGGCTGATACGTGTTTTGGCTAAGTCTGTGGCAAACATGTAAGCATTTCCTTTCACTGACACGCATTGACGAGAGAATGACAATGACAAGCCTGGAGCGATATTATAACCAAGAACCCTCCAAGAATCAGAGCTGAAATCGTACATCTCCGAATCATTCCTACAAAGACCAGATGCAGAGCACAAGATTTTGTAGCACTTGTTATTGCAAGATCCGAGATAAAAGCTTTGGCCTTTCTTTGGAAACTTCCTGGGTTGGATCCACTTGGTTTCACGGGTTAAAGGGTTCCAAACCACCATTCTAGTTTCGTCATCGGAGGAGCATAACACCAAGCCATCACAGTGAAAGACAAAAGCTATCTTGAATAGAAAAGCGGGATTATTAGGATCAATCAGTCTAACCTCAGGTTTGAGTTGTACAGATGGAACAATAATCGAACTGAAAAGCGGACTTGTTAGACTGATGCTCATCGAACATATACGGTAGTTCGCCGTCCCCATGACAGAGAGAAACTGCTTTGGGGATTTGTCAAGGTGCTTTCTTACGAATCTCCTGTCTTTGTATAAACGGTTCCATCGTTGGCAAGTGGTTCGTAATCCCTTCAGATATGTCGCCGGAACACGACACAGTATCTCGTCCACCAAATCGTCTGGAAAATTCTCTGGTATCGACATCGATCTCTGAAACAGCCGGAAAAGAAAAGGAAAAATCATCTAGGGTTTCATCTCCCAAAATACTTGTTTATATAGTCATCAATGTAAATATTAATTAGTTTGGACTTTGGGCCCAACCATATGAGGCTTTGGAGGTAAACCAATTAAAATCAAATGCTTTTTGCATATCGAGCGCTGGGTAATAGAGACGAAGGAAAAGTTCCAAGGATATGCGCATGTGTTTTTTTATTATATACGAATGTGTCAGATCTGGTATACAGAAAGGGTCCACGCGTGATGAATGCTTACCTTGTTGTACTTACGTTTACAATTTACTTATATGTATACGACGAATGTGTGTCGAATGTGGGTCTACGTGACGAATGCGTGTCGAATGTGGGTCTACGTGACGAATGCTTAAACTTTACGTTTACATGTGTGTTTGTGATTCAATTTAATTTTGACGGATATTTAATTTTTCGATTTTCTTTGTTTTAGAAAAGTTTGGATTTTGGTATCACGGATATCCAGAAATTTTCCACATATTTGCGGATATTCGGATCTTCACGGATATATATTTAAAAAAAAACACAATAATCTTTTTTTTGATTTTT